ATATATATATATATATATATATATATATATATATATATATATATATATATATATATATATATATATATATATATATATATATATATATATATATATATATGTATATGTATATGTATATGTATATGTATATGTATATGTATATGTATATGTATATGCATATGTATATGCATATGTATATATATATGTATATATATATATATATATATATATATATATATATATATATATATATATATATATATATATATATATATATCAGTGTCATTGCATTCTGACTTTAGAAAAAAAAGTTTGAGGTTATCCATGGTTTTCACAGTTTTTTATATGAGAAAACTAAGGTTTCACATAAATAGAAAAAGTTAACATTATTTAGATACAGTAATCTTTAAAATTCTTTTTTTTGATGGGTTATATTTATAGCAAGAATACTTTTATATTTTATGAATGTTAAATTATAATTATTTTACTTATGGGCCAATGACACTGGTTTTGAAGTGGGAGAACACAATCTTCAATTTCTGAAAAAAGTTCTCTTTAGCGTGTGATATACGATAATAAAAAGTTTAAACAATTTAAATATTTTAGTTTTTAAATAATTTAGTATTTTAAAACTAAGTTTAAAAAAAAGTTTTTTTAGTATATTTTTTTAGTATTTTAAAACTAAAAGTTTAAAAATACTTTTAAAAAAATTTTGAATTATTTTACATAGATAATTGTATTTTTGTTCATTTAATATTATATTTTTTTATCATTAAACAAAATTTTATGAGTAAACTTTAAATAAATTTATATTTAAAATTGCTTTACATGTGATATTTAAGGCTAAAACACCATCATTGATAAAAAAAAAAAAACTCATTTAAATAAAATTAAATTCATTTAAATAAAGCTTATGGTACCTAAATAGGTTTTAAATAAGAGACTTGCTTGGTTTGCCAATTTTGGCAGGGAGATGCACTGATTAAAGTATATTTAATTAATGCATTTAAATATCTAGTATACTAGGTATTTAAATTCTAAAAAATAATTTTGAAGATCCTCTATATCAGCATTGGCAAAGTTGTAGAAAGAATTTGAATTCACATTGAATCAAATTAACTCTAAAATTTGTTGCAACTTTTACTTTGTTGCAATATGCTATTTTAGAGTTAATTTAAAATAAGCAACAAGGGATCTTAAGGAGCAGAGTGAGATTTGTTTACCACAGGAGAGCAAGGAGATGCACTGATTAAAGTATATTTAATTAATGATTAAAGTTTATTTAATTAACTGATTAAAGTATATTTAATTAATTTAAATGTCTAGTATACTAGGTATTTAAATTCAAAAAAATATTTAAATACAAAAATCACTATTTTTTAAATTCACAAATACAAAATTTATGTTAATTTTGTATTTGTAAATTAAAAAAAAAAAAAATTTTAGTATTTATAAATATTGTTTTTGTAAATTAAATTTTGCATTTGTAAATACAATAGAAAAAGATATCATAAAAATTGTTGTATATTTAATTATCTTCTTTTATGTTTTACGCAAATATAACACAGAGTTCGAATTAAGGCAAAAAAAATGTAATCGCAAAAAAAATATATAAAAAAGTAAAAACGCAAATATTACAATATTTAAACTACTTTAATTAGCTTTTGAAAAATAATTAATGACTCACATGTTAGTTTTAAATAAAAATAAAACATGTGTTAGTTTTAAATAAATAAAACACATGTTTTAAAGAGTATTGAATTGCTATTATAGAATGCTATAAAACAACAATAAAACCAACAATAAAACAATTATTTCTTTTTTCTTTTACTCGACTAGAATATTTATTTACTAGTCGAGAAGAAAACATTGTAATAACAGAGCTAATCGAGACGAGTTCCCTTTGCACCAAAGTACTACTCATACGCCGAGTAGGTGGAGCCGGGTTTGAACCTGCTGCTACGACCAATATATATTCCCAACTTTATAGCAGCGCTTTAACCAACTGAGCTATCCTGACTCAATAAAACAAATAATAAAAACAACCAAAGTTGTTTTGGCAATATAAAGACCTTGTGTTAATGTAAAACAGCTTCATGACACTGTTTTATTGCTTATTTATACAGTTTATAACATGAATAACATATTTATGTTACAAACTGTCAAAAAATAGAATTTTTCTAATTAATAAATTAAAACATTATTGTCATAAAACTTAAAACTTCATATTTGGGCAAAAACATGCCTATAGACCATGCAAGTCAATAATTTATAGACCAAACAAGTAAAAAAAGCAAAAGTTCATTAGATACCACGTTTTTTATAATTTATTGTTTCTACTAAAAATTAAGGTATAATTAATTTTTTCATTCAAATAGTTTTTAAATTGACATCAATTTCATTCAATTTTTTCATTCGAATTGTTTTGCATTAAAAGTTGAAAGAAAAAATTTGGTCTAATAAATCGAACTATATTTGTTTGAGCTTAAGAAAATGCTAAATTTTTTTTTTTTTTTTAATTTCTTTAAAAAGAAGTAAAATAATTTTTAATTTTTTTTTAATTTAAATTAGTTTTTTAATTTTTGGTTTAATGTTTGCAATAATCACTGGTTTAATGTTTGCAATAATCACTGGTTTAATGCTTGCAATAATCACTGGTTTGATGTTTGCAATAATCACTGGTTTAATGTTTGCAATTATCACTGGTTTAATGTTTGCAAAAATCACTGGTTTAATGTTTGCAATAATCACTGGTTTAATGTTTGCAATAGAATGTTTCTTTTACTTTTAAAACTATTTTCATAAAACAAAAGTTAATTAACTATTCAAAATGTTTAGAATAAAACTTTCTTCCCCATTTGCGCTATGTTCTAAATCTAATATTATTACTGTAGCTAGATTTACATTTAACTTTCAGGAATGATCCTTGCTATGTCGCTGAATATTATGAACGTCGCTGCAATCAAATTTAAATTATTAAGGGTTAAAATTCTTTTAAATTTTTCAAATTTTTTTTTTTAATTTCAGACTTCATTTGCGACATTATTCGAACAAGGAATCGTCCATAATATATATAAATTACTCAACACTAAATTTTTCTAATAAACAAAACAAAAAAGATAAAGTTTGCTTTAAACTAAATGTATATATAAAAAATGGTATCGCGTTTTTCATATTCTAATCTCGATTTCTTGTAAAAATTATTTTTAATTAAAAGCTTATATTAAGTGTTAACAACATATAAGATATAAATAGAAACATTTGTAAGGCTAACTTTTGCGAGTTTTTGAGTATATTAAGTTAATTTTGTCAACAATTAAATTCTTACTATTAAAGTAAATTTAATAGTTGAGTAACTGTTACTGTTAAATACAGAGTAAATGTTAAGTAAGTTACTGTAGTAACTGGTTGTTTTGATTTAGTTTATAAGTAAATTTACTGTGATGTACTTTGATTTACTGATGCATTCAGTAAATCAAAGTAATTATAACTTTAAAATATTTCCACACAGAGATTTAAAGTAATTTAAATTAAAAAGTGCTTTATTGATAAACAAAAATCTCTGTGCAAGAGAAAAAATGATCAATATACTTTCAAAAGATAAACTTAACGTGATGTGAAAAATGTGACCCCTAATATAAAACTTAGACAAAAACATTACTTTTAAGAATGGCCAAAAAATAGATGTTAAATTAAAAAAAAAAAAAGAATTAACAAAAAAAAAAAAAAACTAAACAAACAAACCAACAAAAAAATCATAAAAATATTTTTTTTAAGAAAAAACTAATTGCGAAGGTGTCGCGATACCCGTAATAAAAAAGCAATCGCGATACCCTTAATTTGAGCCCTGTAACATAAATGATGTTTTATTGGAAGTTTCATTTTTGAATTTTTTTGTTGTTATTTTTGGTGTACTTTACCAGCAAATTTAGTTTACCTAAAGTATTTTTAATTCCTTTAATATAAAAACATTAAAAACTTTTTTTAAAGTGCATTAATTTATCCTTTATTAATATGCAAAATTTTTGTAATTTTGTAACTTAAGATAAACAGTAAAAATGTTGTAAATGTAAAAGAGTTTTTAAATAAATAAAATAAATAAATAAAATAACTTATTAAACATATTGAAAAATCTAAAGTAGAGAATAACTGATAACAATTAAAAAAATCTTATATATATATATATATATATATATATATATATATATATATATATATATATATATATATATATATATATATATATATATATATATATATATATATATATATATATATATATATATATATAATATATGTATATATATATATATATATATATATACATATATATATATATATATATATATATATATATATATATATATATATATATATATATATATATATATATATATATATATATATATATATATATATATATATATATATATATATATATATATATATATATATATATATATATATATATGTATATATATATATACACATATATATATATATGTGTGTGTATATATATATATATATATATATATATATATATATATATATATATATATATATATATATATATATATACATATATATATAGATGATGGGGGCAAGAGGGCAAGCTTGTCATCTTGCCCCATGTTTGGTAATTTATTAAACTAACCATGATAATGATCCAGAAACTGTTGCTTTGGCTTAGTTAAGTATTAGTTAACTATTATATCACAAAGAAGGAGAGAAACTACTGAAAAGAAGACTTGATTGCATTCATTTAAGGATAATTACAAAAATCCTATTTTAAGAATTCAGTTGGGAATAAATAGAATAAGAAAATAGAATTCGGGTTTCTTAAATATAAAATAACTATAAGCTAAATAATTTATTTAAAATAAATAAATGTTTTATATATTTGGTTTAAAGTTTTATTTTTTTAGTTAATTAGATCTTAGTCATAATTGTTTAATAACGATATATTGTATGTTATAATATATTGTATGTTATATAATATATTGATAAGTATATTTCAGATATAGTTAGAGTTATTGAACTTTGAACAGATTATTTATTTGAACCTAGTAATTAATTGATCTAACCTCTTAGCTTAAATCATGTTATTAAATCTGTATTCAAATATGTAAAATGTGAGCCCTGAATTTTTTTTCATTAGAATGCTAATTTTTACTTCAGTTCATGAAAAAAGATTTAGAAAAGTCTTTAATGCTGCACAGCAAGAAGATTTAAAATTCTACATAACAGCAATTGAAAAAATGTTTTTTAGATTAACAAAGAAACAGTGTAGAAAACTAATTTTTGACTTAAAATATGGTATTTCGCATCCATTTAGCAAGGATAAAAAGATGGCAGGAGAAGATTGGCTGGCTAATTTTACAAAAAAACATAACTTTAGTGTACACAAACCAGAAGCAACATTGATTGCCAGAGCAATGGGTTACAATAAACCAAGTGTAGATAAGTTTTTTTAACATTTTAAGGGAGCAACAGGAAAAATATTAACTCCCTGCTTCTTCAATATATTATGCAGATGAGTCAGGTCTGTCTACTGTGTCTATTAAGCTACCGATGGTTCTCAGTCCTACAGGATTTAGAAGAGTTTCTAAAATTGTTTCAGCAGAAAGAAGAAGAAATGTAACTATAATTTGTTGCATCAGCTCTACTGGTTTTTACCTGCCACCTGCAAAAACTACTGACCATGATGTTGTTGGCAATCAAACTGAAAACAATAATGCTAATCCTCAAACCCAAGTATTAGAAAACCATCATGTAAACCATTCAGAAGAACTTTTAACAAATGCTAATTCAGATGCACTAAAGAAGTCGATTAGTGTTTTTGATTTCAAACCATTTCTTATAGCAAAAAAGATGTCCTGCATGTGAAGAGGAATATTGTAACCCTCCAATAGAAGAATGAATTCAGTGCTGTAAATGGATGAGGAATGTTCCGATTATGAACAAAATAGTATTTTTATTTGTTACTATAGTTAGATAAAATATGTTTATTTTTTTCACAACCTTAACAATTTGTTAAGCTTGTGCAAAAATAAAATAGCAAAAATAAAATTAGTTTGAATAAGTAAATGTTAATATATTTAATATCACAAAGGACTACTGTAACATGTTCATATAAAATAATTTTCCTTAAAAATAAATAAATAAGCAACAAAAATTATTGACATGTTGGAAAAACCTATTTATTAATAAATAATTTATTATAATGATTTTCAATTTTTTTTTAAACTAAAAATTTTAAAAGCTTTTTTTATTGAAATCAAATAATAATTTTCAATTATTAAAAACAATGACACTAAATTTAAGAACACAACAAATTTCTTTTAATAATTTTATTATCCAGTCAAGTAATTATCTTGATCTTGTATTATCTTAAAAGTTTCTGTTGTAGCACTATCAATCAATCAATCATTTATTTCTGAATTAAGGTTTTACATTCAAGGATGTTTACAAATAGTAAATATACTAGTATAAAGTAAACACCTACTAATGTTAATAATATCTAATTAAAATAAATATAATGCTAACTTTCACAATATATAATAACGATAATAAACTTTATAACATTAAATAACGATGTAATATAAATAACGATGTCATAACAATAATAATAATAATAATAATAACAATAATAACAACAATATTAGTATTAGTAATAATAAAAGTTAAGTTAAAAGTAGTTATCAATAGTAAATATTAGTAAAAATAACAAAATAACAATAATCAATAAAAAATATAGAATAGAAATTGTAAAAAAAAAAAAATTTATATATATATACATATATTAAGACAACAAAAATAGATTATAGAAATTATAAACATTAACTATATTTTTTTAATAAAAAGTAGAATAAACTGGTTTTAAAGGTTGAGAATGAATTGAGAGCTTTTAGTTCATAAGGAAGGTTGTTCCAAGTTTTAGTGCTTTGATATTTTATGGATTTATGTCCGTAATTATGAGAGCGGTGTTTAGAGCGGTGTTTAGTAGTTGCACTAGCAACCATAACACATAATAGTCCAATTTTCTATAAACACAAATGATTTAATGTGAATATAAATCAGATTCTTTCTACAACTTTGCCAATGCTAATATAGAGGATCTTCAAAATTACTTATCAAATATAAACTGAGACATCAAGTTTTCTTATCTTTACAATTGAGGATATTTTTTGAGGCATTATTGTACTGGTATTTATCAACTTGTACCCATCAGAAAAAACCAATGTAACAAAATGAAAAACCATTATCCAAAATAAACTTAAAAAACATTAAACCACAAAACATTTTAAGATGATCCATATAAAATCTATTAAGAAGCAATTTGCATACAAACATTACGCCTCAAAATAAAAACAAGCCATACATAATTACCAATTAAAAATTGAATTAAATCTAGTTGAAAGAAATAATATTAGTAAGTTTTATAATTACTTTAATAACTTATAGCCAACTACGCTATAGACTTAACTGCGTTATTACTGGTAATTATAAGCTAACTACCAGTAATATAAAAATCATTAACATGTTACCTAACTACTAACATTTTACATAACCACTTTGGTAGTGTTATTTCAAAAGTTCTAACATATCACATTTTATGATCCTGATGGTATACCAAATATACTTCTTGAAAAGTTAACTCAAGTTTTGTTTTATCCTCTATCATATATATATATATATATATATATATATATATATATATATATATATATATATATATATATATATATATATATATATATATATATATATATATATATATATATATATATATATATATATATATATATATATATATATATATATATATATATATATATATATATATATATATATATATTTATATATTTATATATATATATATATATATATATATATATATATATATATATATATATATATATATATATATATATATATATATATACATATATATATATATAAGGCTTGTTTTACACTAAGTACCTTACCTAATCAATGGTAACAAGCTTTTGTCTCCCCAATTTTCAAAAAAGGAGCTACATTGAATACATTGAATACATTGAATGGTTTCTTCAACAAATGTAATGTGCACTCATTTTTTGGAGTCTACTAATGATTGAAGCATAACACTTAACAATCATCTGATATCAGATGCTATATAAATTGAATTCCGAAAGGTTTTTGATTCTGTATCTCATTTAAAACTATTAAAATTTCATCATGCAATATATGTGGTAAGACAGATCTCAACAAATTAGGATCCATATCGTTCTTTATCCAATCTGATTCATATTGTTACCAGTATACAAGGTAGAGTGCTAGGGCCAACTTTTGTTTTAATTCTTTATTAATGATATATCATCTGTAGTTAACAAACTTTAATGTACAATAACATTTTTTGTTAATGATTTAAAGTTATACAGCTCATATCTTAATACGAAGCCACAATTTAAGTATAACTTTTTTGAATTTTTTTATTGATTAGAAACTCATCAATTGCCAGGTAGTGTTCTACATATAGATTCGCTCCAGGTAAGTGTTCTACACATAGATTTACTCCAATCCAGCATAGTATTAATTTCAACTACAAGTCGGCAATAATATTTTAGATTAGTCATCTAACCTAAAGGATCTTGGATTAACTATGGACTCCAAATTAATCTACAAAAAGCATATTGCTAGCAAAATAACTAATCTTAAAATGTTTGAAAAACTTGTAATACTTGTATCTTAATACATGCAATCACTACTTCTATAAAAAAGATTCACTAACAAACTGCCAATCTTAGTACTTTAAGCTATCATAAATGCTTACAGGTGCTTGGTTTGGATTCTTTTGAGCTGAGAGTTATAAAACATATGCAATCACTCTCAATAAACGCTGCTAAAATAAGGTTAAATAAAACCCATTTGTTTAATTTGTAAACTATATCTGTTTTATTTCTTATTTAAGGGTACGCTGTTAGGGGACTACTATTTAGGGGCCTATTATTTGGACCTGTGTGTTCTTTAGAATACCAATGTTCTAGTAAATCTAAACTTTAAAAGTTTTAGACAAAAATGTCTAAACTTTACTACAAATTTTTCATGGGTTTGTAATTGCAGATTAGGATTTGTAATCCTTGACAACTTTTACAAATGCCACATTATAATTCAACAAATTTTTGTCATTTTTTGTTTACTTTTTAAAAGAAATAAACCTTTCTTAAAATTCATTACATATTGACCTCATTTAAAAACAACTAATAAATTAAATTATTTGATGGAAACATTCGTTAAAAAAAATCAAACTATTTGATTAAAAAATCAAATTAAAAAAATAAACAATTACTTGATTAAAAAATGAATACAATTGGCTGTGGTCAAACTGTAATTGAATCTTTTCAGCTATCTGTTAAAACAAAAGTCTAAATGAATTTTCTTAATAATCATTTAAACAAAATGAAAGATAAATCATTACACTGTATTAGGACCCTAATATAGGACCCTGGGATTGGGATTGAGAATAAGAATTATAATTAACAAGTAAATACTATTTTGTTATCAGTAATATCTAAACCAAGTTCAACAATAAATATTACTTTGTTATCAGCATTATCTAAACCAAGTTCAACAATAGCATTTGGTGTTTTCAGCTTGATTCTGTTAGCTTGTGCAACTTCTACATTTAAATTCCATTTTATGGTATCCAGCTTAAAAAAAGCATTTCTGTGAAAAAAAGATTGAAAAATAGAAATAAATATGTTATTATGGTAAAATTTATTACTTGCTTTGGTGCCAGACTTCTTTTTCGAAAATGTTCTATGACCATTGGTCCCAGTTCTTTCCATAAACTTGTAAAAACTTCTATCTATATAAAAATAGAATAAAAACAGAGTAAAAATAATTGAACTTGCGAATACATTAAAGTATTTTTAAATTATTATTTTATAACCAATAAGATCATCACTAATGAGATCTAAATTAAACCAAATATTTTTTTTTTTAACTTTTTCACTTTTAACATCTTCACTTCCAACAAAGCTGCAAGCAACCACTATTAGAGATGGAAGTTACTGGAAGAGAAAAGATGAAGTTTAGAGAGTAAGATAATGATTAACAGATGACTTAAAAGATAACAAATTATATGAAGTAGGAAAACAAGATGAATTGAGCAAATTCTGAAGAACTGATGTTTGAGGAAAAAAACTAGACAAACAAGAATTTTTTAAGCACTTATAAACAGTCACAGTAAAAGGATGAGATTTAATTGAATGAAGAGTAACACAAGAATGATTTTTACTAAATGGCACCAAAGATGCTAGCTCTTTAAAGAAGTGCCCATAATAGTATTTATAGAAAAGAGAAAAAGAAGCAACATTGTGACACTGTGATTGGTTGAAGGTTAGCTGCAAGAGCAGGTACAACTATGTTTAGAATGCATTTTTACACCTTATCTAAAAGAGAAAGGGCATCATTAGAAGATCAGCTCCAGATTGGCTTCAGTATTCCATACAAGGATAGATTGGAATTTTATAGAGATAAAGAATATAATCTAGAGTAAGTAAGTGTCGCGCTCGATAAAAAGATGCAACTTTAGCAGATGCTAATTTTGCAACGGATTCGATATATGGTTTTCAAGAAAGATCAGAAGTAGAGGTTAATCCTAGAGTATGAAGGGTAGATGACTCATCGAGTACATTACCGTTCATAAATATTGGAAGGTCTAAATTATTGCGATAACGATTGGCTGAAAAAAATTGAGTTTTATATGAATTAAAATTCACCAGCCACTGTGAACCCCATGCTGTAGCAGAAGTGAGATCCTTTTCAAGCTCAAATGCCCCCTCCAAGTAATAAGAGAGTGTTAGCTTCTATCAAGACAAGAATAAATGTTTTTATCATCAGCAAACAATGCCACCTTGATGTGAGAATTTCTGGGATATTGTTAATGTAAACTTAAAAAAGGGGCCAAGGATAGAACCTTGAGGAACCATTGAAAGTTGCAGGCCATGAAGAAGAGTACTGTCCATTGAGGACAACTTTTATACTATAATTGGTAATTCAATAATCTTAAAGATGTTACACCGTAAGAAGAGAGCTTATGGAGAAGACCAGCAAGTCAAACTTTATCAAAAACTTTAGAAATGTTGAGAGCTATAGGCCTTGACCTCTCCACATTTATTTAATGCACAATAAAACCTATCAGTTATTAATGTTAACAAACCAGCATTAGAACAAGATGCTTAAAATCCATATTGATGATCAGAAAGTAAGTTATTAGATTCAAGATGAGAGATTAAGTGTTTATTAATTAAAGACACAAAAAATTCATGATAGTAAGAAGACTAATGGGATGGTAGTTAAACAAGTCAGATCGCTCTCACAAAGTACAAGTAGGTCTAATGAACTTTTCAAAAGTTATCTTTTGCAAAGTTCATTAGACTCAAAAGAAGAAAAGTTACTTCGAAGACCAAGAATATTAGTGAATGATAGATTTAGAGAACTTGGTGATGACAATGGTTTTTTGTGTTTTACAGTTTTAGGTACTTTAGTGATTTTTAAATTGGTTGAAGAACTTGACTAAAAGCACAGATAGTACTCAGTACATTATTTAGTAGTCCAAGCAATCGCCTCATTAATATTAATGAATCCTAGACTGTAACAAAGGGCTTTAAATGTGGCCTCGACAATGCACATTAAAAGTACAAACAGGGACACTATCCTTGGGAAACATGGCACTGTTAGTACTCTGATATTTTACAGCTGTTAATAGAATCAGCCACTCTGAAAGTTACCACAGAGTTGAAGAAACCTGACTGCCAGCTGGCCTCAGAACCATAAAACTGAGTTTTAGAGCTGTATCCTCATTAGGAGATAATAGAATAAGTCGCCTAGTCATAAAAACAGAGGCGTAAGTAAAATCCATGCATTGAGTCAAGAAGATCCAGCATTCAACATCAAAAACTAGAAACAATGTATTATAAATACATCTGCACCAGCCTAATAGATGGAGAAGGGGTGTTAGGCTGGTCAACAGATAGAATGTGTTTACCCCTTTAAGTCTTTGCCTAGGAGGCCTTCTACAAGACTTTACCCGGATGCATTTAACGTCTGCCCAAGATGGGTATTTCTATCAAGACACCATCTCTAGCCTTTACTCAACCAAGAGCCCCTAGGCAGGAGGTGTTTAAAATCAGAGTTGGCCTAGCCTTTGTCTAAAAAAGCGTATCCTACAAGGCAGAAGAACATGAAGCGGTTGTCAGGCTTGGACAGGAATGGTTGCGAACGCACTCTGTAAATGACCACGCTGATGTTTTTATTTCTTTACAACTTGACCAAGACTATTTTGATGTTTTAATAAATGAATGCAATAAAAAAAGTGTTACGTTAAATATCTTTTAATCGTTGATCTTTTCTATTTTTATTTTATGCAAAGGCTTTAAATAAAACCATAAAATTAATTATAGTTTTTGTTTACATAAACGCATGCGTAAATTAATAAAAAACGTTATATATAAGTTTTTTTTATGTAGGCATGTATTTTTTATGTTAAATTCAAACGTTTGAAACGTTTATTTTATCATAAAAAAGTTATTTTTCCATGCGTTCCTAAAACATTTTTAAACCATTATATTTAGAAAGAATTTTTTTAAGTTACTTTAATTTGTGAATAAGTTCAAAAGCTTTTATGACTACTAGCTTTTACACATTTTATGTGAATTACACAAGAATATAAAATAACTTTATTTACTTATATAAGCATGTATTTCATTGGTACATGTTCATACGATTAATTTTTATAATTAAACTTACGATTTTTTAAAATGTTTTAAATAAACATTTTATTTTTTGTAATCATTTTTTTTTTTCCTGTTAGGAATGAATGAGTTTAAATCTTTTATAATAATTTTTAGAAGAAGTGCTTATTAATAAAGTTGTAACGCTCAAATTAAAAATAAATTAAAAATGCTTGTTGGCAGTTTATTTTATTTAAATCGCAGGCGCATTTTATCTATTTTTTTTTTCTATTTTAATGAATAAAAAAGTTGAAAAGCTTTTTTTTAATTAGACTTACTAATTAGAGCATGAATTAATAAAAGTAACTATTGTAAAAAGACTATGTTATTTTTTTAAACGAATTTTTTTTGCAACTTTTTTTGAAAAAATAAATGTTTATACAATTTAAAAATATTGTATACAATACTTTTTAATAAATTTAATAAAAATTGTTCATTTAATACGTCAGTAGTAATTTGTTATTAATTTAAAAACGTTTAGCTTAACTTAAATAACGTTTAAAAAGATAAGCTTTAATAACGTTCATTTCGCACGTAATTAAAAACGAAACAAAGTTTCGCTTTGAATTTAAGTTTTTATTTTCATTTTAGTGCTTATAATTTTTTTTCGTTATGAATTTGTTTTTCGTTTCTTTTTTAGATAGGAACTTTTTTTGTTAGTTTTTTTTTTTAGTTTTTTTCCTAGTTTAAGTTTAGCATAGCGTTTCTACATTCAGAGCATTTTTGAAATTTTTAAATCATCAAAACATAAAACAATCTTGGTCAAGTTGTCAAAAACTAAAATCATTTGCATGGTCAGCAATAGTGCTCGATCGCACGCCATTCCTGTCTAAGCCTGCAATGGTTGTACTAGGTTACATGTTACCAGTATCAGGATAACCTGACCTGACAAACATTTCTAACATTTCTCACTTAAAACATTTCTAGTGTTCAGAGAAACTGTTTGTAAGATCTAAATTAAACAAAACATTTCTAGTGTTCAGAGAAACTCTTTGTAAGATCAAAATTAAACAAACACTTCTAGTGTTCAGAAAAACTGTAGGTAAAATCTAAATTAAACTAATTAAACAGATTAAAAAAAAATAAACTTTAAATGTGAAGAAAGACAATACAAATGACTATAAATGTTTTAAGTTTAAAATTTTCAAAATTTTTTTGTTTTGCTTTTTCTTTATAAATTTTTTAAAATTTATAAAGAAATAGCAAAACAAAAAATACTACACTACAACACTACAAAGGAAAACAACGCTAGCAACACTACACTACACGACTACACTACAACACTGCAAAGAAAAACAACGCTAGCAACACTACACTACTACACTACAACACTACAAAGAAAAACAACGCTAGCAACACTACACAACTACACTACAACACTACAAAGGAAAACAACGATAGAAAAACTACACTACAACACTACAAAGGAAAACAATGCTAGCAACACTACACTACACTACTACACTACAACACTACAAAGGAAAACAACGCTAGCAGACTTTTGCTCAATGTTGCAACACAATGTCATTACTTTGAAAAGTGATCTCTCTAAAGAAAAAGTTTCTTTTTATCACTGCAAGAAATAAACTCAAAAACTCGAGGTTCTCAAGACTTTCAGAAAATCTTTAATAAAATCATTAACAAAAGAAAATTTAAGATTTCAATTAAGAACAATTCCTCTAGATTATCTCTTGAATCTAAAAACCACAGGTCTTGCGATAAAGCGTCGGGTGATGTGAATTTTACGTCGTCCAAGAGCGATTTTGCGTGTAGCTAGGGCTATTTACGTCGAGCAAAAAATTTTTTGTTTGAGTATATTTAAAGATATTTTTGAGCAGAATTTTAATGAAGTAATTTACGATTATTTTAACATTTAATAAAGTATTTTAAAAACCGCACGCAGTTGATATAAAAGTTTGAATTACAAAAAAATTAAATATGCTAATTGTTTACAAGTAAAAAAAGTTCAGATTAAAAAAAAAGTTTAAATCTTTTTAAGCTAACATTTTAATAAATTATTCAGCAATAGCAAAGTTGTCGATAAAATTGAACAAAAATACTTTCTTTTAGTTTTAGATTTTTAACTTAAATAATTATTTTACGGGGGTTTGTTATGTTTTAAAATTATTCCACAGATTTAAAAATATTGATTAACTGTTTGATGTATTTAAAGTATTTAAGAGTAATTTTGAGGAAACATTTTAAAAAATGGTAAGCGCAAATAAAAATATTTTATTTGCGCAAAGATTTTTATTCTAATATTTTATTTCATTTTATTTTACTAGAAATAAAATTCCTTGTAAACATTAAAAATCTATTCAAAACATTCGTTAAAGTTTTTTAGTAATACGAGTGATTGTGCTTATTAACCACTTTATAAAAATAAATAAAAATAAATAAATAAAAAAATATTATATAAAATCGCTGGTAAAAATATTAGCTATTGCACAGTTTTTAATCGTACAATATTAAAATTTCCAGTTTATTACTCGCTGACTTTTTAAAAAGAAAAAATAATTATTTGAAAAACTTTAAATTACATATTTGAGAAGAAAAAAAATCAAATATCAGCATTTATAATCTTTTTTAAATGTTTAGTTATAATGTTTTATATTCGTTTAGTATAGACAAAACGTGACCAACGTCGAGAAAATAAACAAATGTTTTTACATTTTAAAAATCGAAACATTCCAAAACATTTTTAAATAATAACATTTCTACATTAATGATATAAAGTAGTTTTGCGGTAATTAAGTAAATTAATGCAGTTAATGTCGCTAAATATAAAAAGTAAATAAAAAGAATTTAATGACGTCAAAAATCACGTCGTGCTTATGTGTCGCGCAGTTTTTATTCATCACAAGGCCTGAAACCACACACTTTCTAACTTCTAGAGTAACAAGTTGTTTTATTGTTTCTAGAGTAACAAGTTATTCCATTGTTAGACATCCTAATCACTCCAGTTTTTGTTGCTAAAGTTCTCACTTAAAAATTTCTACACCTTGTGCTAATAATGGCTGCAGTTTTGTTGATATTCCTCAATGCAAGGCAACACTCATCAATAAAGAAACAAACAATACTGATATTCCACTGAATATTTTTGACTACTGACCTCTCATAAAAACTAAATGTCCAATCTATTGCAATGTTAAAATATGCTAAAACTCTCTTTTTCTCATCATGCTCTTACTCCATCACTAAAGTTTTTTTATATTTACACAAAAGCACATTTTAAATTGTGCATATTTGTATAAAAATCCTTAAGACTTTTTTTATCAGATAATTTTTTTTTTATAATATTATACAAATTTTTTTATAAATTTTAATTATAATATTAGTTAATGATTAACAAACATGATCAAAAAATTTAAAAAACTCTGCATGTAAATTAAAAAAAACCCTGTATCTGAAAAAATGAAATACTAAACATCTGATTTACTTTATGCAAAATTTACCAAAACAAAAAAAATTGATTGCAAAAATATGTTATAGTTTTATAAAAAACTCTAAAACACAAAGGTACAAATAACCTTATCATCATGAATGCCAATAATGCTTAACTGTTGTGCAAATATATTTCCCTTTGCTAAATGATATGCAGCTTGTTCCCAGATAAATGATATTATTTCTAATAGCAGTTCCACTTCGCCGCTTGATAAATCAAATGCTAGTTGCAATTTATCTTCTTCTTCTGATGTGAATGCTTTGTCATTCTGTTTAAAAACAAGTAATTATAATAATACTTATTAAAAAAGGAAAAATTAAAAAAAAAAAAAAAAAAGTTCTAATATACTTTAGCTTAACTCAATGCTTGATCTCGCAACGTTGCAGATATGCAACGATCAAAACATAAAAAAATATTAAGCATGCAAAAACATGCTAGCAGAATTATATATACAGAGCTCAAATTAGGCGTATCACAAATCGCAATTGCTTTTCATTCTTTAAAAAAATATTTCATTCTTTAAAAAAATTTTTTCTTTAAAAAAATATTTGTGTGATTTGCTTTTTTTTGTTCATTTGTTTATCATTTGTCTTTTCTAATTTAGCATTTTATTTGGCCGTTCTTCAAAGTAATGATTTTCTATAAGTTTTTTATTAGAAGTCATAAAGTACAAAACACTAAATTTATGTTTTAAATAGAAATATGAACATTTGCTCTCTTGCACAGAGATTTTCATTCAATATAAAACCTTTTTGAATTTTAATTACTTTATATCTCTGCATGGAAGCTAATAATATTAATAATATAATAAAGTTATTTTTAATTTGATTTACTGAATGGATAAGTAAATCACAGTAAATTTACCTATAAACTAAATCAAAAAAATCAGTTAAATTACAGCAGTAACTTACTCAAAGACTTAGCCATACAAATGTTTCTATTTATATCTTACATTGTTAACACATAATAAGCTTTCACCTAAAAATTATTTTAACAAGTAACCTTGAATAGAATATGAAAAATGCTATACTTTTTTTTAATATTTACATTTTATTTAAAGTGATATCAAAAATAAACATTTTCTATATATACGCAAGTTGTTTTTAGGACTTCTTTTAAAAAAAAAAAACTATTACAACAAAAGAATTCTTCTAAAATTCTGTGATTCAAATAATTTTGCAATTGAAATTTGAAATTTGAAAAAATTGGAAAACTTTGAAAAACTTTTAACGCTCAATAATTATAAAATAAATTGCAGCAGCATCCGTAATACTCATTGGCATAGCAAGGATCATTCCTGAAAGTTAAACATATAACTAGCTACAGGAACAAAATTTAGATTTAGAACATAGTGCAAATAAGAAAGAAAGTTTAATTTAAATCCTAAACATTTTGAATAGTTAATTACTTTTTGTTTCTTGAAAATAGTTTTAAAAGTAAAAACATTCTATTGAAAAGATTAAACCAGTGATTTCAAACGTTAAAGCAAAAATTAAATTATAAAAAACTTCTATTCAAAGAAATATTTTTTCTAAAAAAATATACTAAAACTTAAAAAAATATTATTTGATTTTATTAAACCAAACTTTTTTCTTTCACTTTTTATTGCAAAACAATTTGAATAAAAAAATTGAATAAAAACATCAACTTAAAAACCATTTGAATGAAAAAATTAATTATATATAAATTTTTAATAGTATGCTAGATCAAGAAAAAACAAATTATGAAATAATCTTATTTGCTTGGTCTATAAATTATGGACTTGTATGGCCTGCAGGCATGTTTTTGCACAAATATGAAATTTAAAGTTGTATGACAATAATGTTTTAATTTTTTAATTAAAACAAATGTATTTTTTTATGACTTTTCTTGTAAGTTTTTGCTTCTGCGTCCTTGATAGTGGGTATGCAACTCTTCCTGTTATCTCTTAATGAGGTACAGCTCCAAAACTGAGTTTAATGGTTCTGAGGCCAGCTGGTAGTAAGGTTTCTCAAACTCTGTAGTAGCTCACAGAGAGGCTGATTCCATCAACAGCTGCAAAATATCAGAGTATTAACAGTGTCATGTTGCGCATGGATGGTGTCCCTGTTTATACTTTTGGTGTGCATTGTTGATGCCACATAAAAATGAATGCTCAATCTTCTTGACTTAATGCATGGGTTTAGTTTGTGTCTCTGTTTTTATGACTCAACAACTCATTCTATTATCTCCTAATGAGGGTATAGCTCTAAAACTCAGTTTTATGGTTCTGAGGCCGGCTGGTAGTCAAGTTTCATGAACTCTGTGGTAGCTCTATGAGAGGCTGATTCCATCAACAATTAAAAAAATTAAAATATTAACAGTGCCATGTTGCGCATGGATGGTATACCTGTTTGATCATTTGATGTGCATTGCCAAGGCCACATTGAAGCCCTTTGTTATGGCTTAGGGTTTATTAATAGTAATGAGTACTCAGTACACTGTTTAATAGCTGTTTAAATGCTATTAAACAGCTATTAAACAGTGTACTGAGTACTACCTATGCTTCGACTCAAGTTCTTTAACAAATTTAAAAATGAATAAAGTAACAAAAACTATAAAACACAAAAAACCACAATCATTCACTAATATTCATGGTCTTCGAAGTAACTTTTCTTCTGTTGAGTTTTATCTTTTGCAAAGTTCACCAGACCTACTTGCTCTTTGTGAGACTAATTTGAGTTCAGCTGTCTCATCTTGTGATCTTAATGTTGATGGTTATTTTCCTTTACTTCGTAAAGACTCTAATAGTCACATGCTTGGACTAGGCATTTTTATTTGTAAGAATTCACCCATTTGTCCGGAAAATAGATTTGAATTTACAGACTCTTTTATGTGCTTTTGTTTAGCACCAATTCACTCTATCACCTTTCTCTTTGTAATATATTTCTCTCCTTCATCTCAAGACTGCACTCTTCTTGATGTAATTTCTGATCATATTGACCAAACCCTCTCTTATTATCCACCAGCCAATACTGTTGTTGTCGGTGACTTTAATGTTCATCACACTGAATGGCTTGGCTCTAGTGTCAGTGACTCTGCATTCAAGTCCACAACTTTTGCCTTTCTCAATCCTTAACTCAAATAATCATTTTCCCAACTCGCTTTCCCAACAACCCAAATCATTTATCTTGTGACTAATGTCTTGTTTCTGATCCTAGTCGGTGCTCAGTTTCTCCACATTCACCCTTAGGTGCCTCTGATCACAGTTTGATCTCTCTAAAACTATTATCTCATTCTTCTTCATCATCAGAATCCCCCTATCATCGTACATCTTACAACTACCTTAAAGCTGACTGGGACTCTTTCTGTGATTTTCTTTGTGATGGCTTATGGGTAGAAATCTTTCGTCTTCCTGTTTACAAATGTGCTTACATAACTTCATGGATTCAAGCTGGCATGGAATCCTTAAATACCTCTCGATGATTCCAGGTCAAGCCTGATTCTTCTCCATGGTTTTCCTCACATTGTGCTGCTGCAATTGCCAATTGAAAATTTTACTTCCATATCTATCAGCAAAACAACTCTCCAGAAAACAGAAGTCTGTTTATTATTGCTAAAAACTATTGTAAAAAGATTTTGTCTAACATCAAAGCCTGCTATTTTCAAGTCATGAAATCTCGTATGTCATTACAAAAATTAGGCTTTTGTGACTTCTAGAGAATCTTTACTAATATTAATAATAAAGGCAAGTCTATAATTCCACGTCTTTTGTATGGTTTAGACTATGGTTTAGACAGTCACCTCACCTAAAGATAAAGCTGAATTATTTGCTAAGAACTTTTCATCAATATCTCTTGATTCCACTAGTTGTGTTCTACCTGATATAGCCATCAAACAGGTTGATCCATTGCTTGACATCCGTATCACTCCAGCTTTTGTATCTAAAGTGATTTCCTGCTTAGATTTTTTTCCAGCTTGTGGCCTAGACAACATACCTGTTATTGTCTTGCAGAAGTGTTCTCCGGAGCTGTCGTCTATCCTTTCAAAACTATTCAACAAGTGCTTATCAGAATCTTGATTTCCAGCCTACTGGAAGCAGCATTTTTTATCCTCATTTTTAAAAATTCTGGAGAGCAATCTGATTTGTCTAACTAGCTTCCCATTAGTCTTCTACCTATCATAAGCAAGGTTTTTGAATTATTAATTAACAAACACTTAATCTCTCATCTTGAATCTAATAACTTACTTTCTGATCATCAATATGGATTTTGATCTTCTCGTTCTACGGCTGATTTTTTAACCTTAATAACCTTAACAACCTTATAATAATAATAATTATAATAATAATAATTACAGTAACAATGAATAGGTTTTATTGTGCATTAGATAAAGGTGGAGAGGTTAAGACCATCGCTCTTGACATTTCTAAAGTGTTGGCTAAAGTTTGGCATGCTGGTCTTCTCCATACGCTTTCTGGAAACATCTTTAAGATTATTAAATCCTTCTATTCCAATCGTAGTATAAAAGTTGTCCTTGATGGACAGCACTCTTCTTCTTATTCTGTAACCTCAGGGGTTCCTCAAGGTTCAACCCTAAGCCCTATATTCTTTTTAATTTACATTTTTGATCTTCCAGATATTCTCACATCTAAGGTAGCATTGTTCGCTGATGATATCATTTATTCTTGTCATGATAAAAAGCCAACTCTTTCTGATTGCTTGGAAGGGGAATTTGAGATTAAAAAGGATCTCACTTCAGCTACAGCATGGAGCTCACAGTGGCTGGTGAACTTTAATTCAGACAAAACTAAATTTTTTTCACCCAATCCTTATCGTAATAATTTAGACTTTTCTATGTTTATGAACTGTAATGTACTCGATGAGTCAACTACCATTAATTCTCTAGGATTAACTCTTACTTCCGATCTTTCTTGGAAACGATATATCAAATCCATTGCAAAATTAGCATTTGCTAAAGTTTTATCAAGCTCGACACTTTCTTACTCTGGATTCTATTCTCTATCTCTATAAATCTCAAATCCGGCCTTGTATGGAATACTTTTGCCATATCTGGGGAGGATCTTCTAATGATGTGCTTTCTCATTTAAACAAGGTGCAAAAACTCATTGTAAAAATAGTTGGACCTGCTCTTGCAGCCAACCTTTAACCATTATCACATCGTTGTAATGTTGCTTCTCTTTATCTTTTTTACAAATACAATAATCATAGATCATCCTAGTCATATTTTAAAAATCCGGAAAATTGTTTGAATAAAACATCCGGAAAAAATCCGGAATTTGTTTTCCTT